AAAAAAAAAAAGGAAAAAAAAAAGACAAGAAAGGATCCTCCTCAAGAGCCTTCAAAGAGGGCATGACCTTGCTCTTGCTGACACCTTGATTTCTGACTTCTCACCTCCAGAAGTGTGAAAGAATAAATTTTTGTTGCCTCAAACCACCATTTGTGGTACTTTGTTACAGCAGTCCCTAGGAAACAAATACAGCTGGTGAGCTGTCATGGAAAACATAGAATGGGTAATAACAACACTTCATCATTTCAATAGTTTCAGAAACATAATTCCAAATTGATCCTTACAAATACCTTGTGAAGCAGCAGCACAGTTTACCGATAAGGAAGTGGATGATCAGAGGTATTAGGGACTTGACAGAAAGTGGCAGAAACAGAATCTGAACCCAAGTGAGGGGTCCTATTCAAATACTCTGACCCTATTAAGCAAAAAATTTAATCTTTTCCCACGTTTCTTACAGTTTTCTTCCCCATCATAACTCCAAATTCATCCTCCTATCTCCAGCAATTTGCTTTCAAGGAGGATCACTGATCAGTAATTTGGACTTAAACATGAATTTTACTAATATCGCATTCCAAATTTCTGCATTGTTACGGCATTAGTTTTTGTTATGGAAATAGCTTATCCCCAACTACCCCACTAACTCTTGTTACCAACCATTGGAGTAGGGCCTTTTTTTTTTTTTTTTTTTGAGAGAGACAAGCTCTCGCTCTGTTGTTGCCCAGGCTGGAGTGCAGCGGCACAATCCTGACTCACTACAGCCTTAGACTTCTTGGGCTTAAGGATCCTCCCGCTTCAGCCTCCCAAAGTGCTGGGACTACAGGTGTGAGCCACTGCGCTCGGATAGTTGGGACCATCTTAATACAGTATAACCTCATCTTAACTTGATTGCATCTGCCAATAATCTATTTCCAAATAGGGTCACATTCTGAGGTTCCCAGTGGACAAGAATTTTGGAGGGACGTTCAACCCAGTACATCCGCTAAATGTTGCTATTCCTCACCTATTTACCCTTGAACCTCTTTTCTTATTGTAGAGCCTCTCCTTTGACAGTCTTTTCCACTCCTATGCATAGATACAGTTAGAGCTAATATTTGCAGAAAAAAATATTTTCACAGAAAGCTGTGAACTGACAAAGATGTAAACAGTAATGTAAACGTTAAAAGTAACGACAAAAATAGCAATTACTTTTGCACCAACCTAATAGGGACCTTTGCTTCAATGCTCCTTCTACTAAACCATCCCGACCGCTCCTCCATAGATAGATTCAAGATTCATGATGCTACTTTAGCTTAATTCTGGAGTAAAAGAAAAACTTTCAGAAAGACTACTAACTAAAGCATGGTCTGTACGTATTATTCTCTAAAGCATCAGTAGCATAGGCTTTGCAATTAGGAAGTCTGCGGGTTTGCTCCTGGCTCTGCCGTGGGACGCCGGGAAAGTTAATCTCTCTGAGCGTCGGTTCCCACGGATAAGAAAACACATATTCTTGGTATTTCTTGAGAAGATTAAATATTAGGCAAAACGCCTAGCACAGAATAGGGGCTCAGCATCTTTTGCCCCCCAAGAGCGTGAATCAGAGCTTCGGGTTTGCGTCGTCTCTGGGGGACCCCTGCGCCGCCAGGTCCTCAGGGACCTTTTCACAGTGAGCTGAGACCGAACCTCTTCACAGCCGCGCGTGGGTGCGGCTTTGGGGCGTGGTGGGCGGGAATGACAGGGAGGCCGGCTCCGCCCCCTCGGGGC